GCGGTGTGCGCGGTGTGTGCGGTGTGTGCGGTGTGTGCGGTGTGTGTTGTGTGTGTGTGTGTTGTGTGAATTGTGTGTGTGTAGAATGTGGCGTGTGTGGTGTGTGTGTGTGTGGCGTGTGTGGCGTGTGTGGTGTGTTGTGTGTGTGTGTGGTGTGTGTGTGTGCTGTGTGCTGTGTGTGGTGTGTGTGGTGTGTGTTGTGTGTTGTGTTGTGTGTTGTGTGTTGCGTGTTGCGCGCTGCGTGTTGCGTGTTGTGTGTTGTGTGGTTGTGCATTGCGTGTTGTGTGTTGCGTATTGCGTGTTGCGTGTTGCGTACTGCGTGTTGCGTGTTGTGTGTTATGTGTTGCGTGTTGCGTGTTGTGTGCTGCGTGCTGCGTGGTGCGTGTTGCTTGTTGCGTGGCGCGTGGCGCGTGGTGCGTGTTGCGTGGTGCGTGTTGCGTGGTGCGCGTTGTGTGTTGCGTGTTGCGTAATGCGTGTTGCGTGGTGCGTGTTGCATGGTGCGTGTGGCGTGTGGCGTGTGGTGTGGTGCGGGGTGCGTGTTGCGTGTTGCGTGTTGCGTGGTGCGTGTTGCTTGTTGCGCGTGTTGCGCGTTGCGTGGTTGCGTGGTTTGTGGTGCGTGGTGCGTGGTGCGTGTTGTGTGTTGCGTGGTGCGTGGTGCGTGTTGTGTGTTGTGTGCTGCGTTGCGTGGTCCGAGTTGCGTGTTGCGTGGTGCGTGTTGTGTGTTGCGTGGTGCATGTTGCGTGTGGCGTGTCGTGTGGTGCGTGGTGCGTATTGCGTGTTGCGTGTTGCGTGGTGCGTGTTGCGCGTGTTGCGCGTTGCGGGGTTGCGTGTTGCGTGGTGCGTCTTGCGTGTTGCGTGTTGTGTGTGTTGCGCGTTGCGTGGTTGCGTGGTTGCGTGGTTCGTGGTGCGTGCTGCGTGGTGCGTGTTGCGTGGTGCGTGTTGCGTGTTGCGTGTTGCGTGGTGCGTGTTGTGTGTTGTGTGCTGCGTTGCGTGGTCCGTGTTGCGTGTTGCGTGGTGCGTGTTGTGTGTTGCGTGTTGCGTGGTGCATGGTGCATGTTGCGTGTGGCGTGTCGTGTGGTGCGTGGTGCGTGTTGCGTGTTGCGTGTTGCGTGGTGCGTGTTGCGCGTGTTGCGCGTTGCGTGGTTGCGTGGTGCGTGTTGCGTGTGGCGTGTTGCGTGGTGCGTGTTGCGTGGTGCGTGGTGCGCGTTGTGTGTTGGGTGCTGCGTGTTGCGTGGTGAGTGTTGCGTGGTGCGTCTTGCATGGTGAGCGTTGCGCGTTGCGTGTTGCGTGTTGCGTGTTGCGTGGTGCGTGTTGCGTGTTACGTGGTGCATAGTACGCGTTGCGTGTTGCGTGTTGCGTGATGCGTGTTGTGTGTTGTGTGTTGTGTGGTGCGTGTTGTGTGTTGCGTGTTGCGTGTTGCGTGTTGCGTGGTGCGTGTTGCGTGTTGCGTGTTGTGTGGTGCGTGTTGCGTGTTGCGAGTTGCGTGGTGCGTGGTGCGTGTTGCGTGTTGCGTGTTGCGTGGTGCGTGTTGCGTGTTGCGTGTTGCGTGTTGCGTGTTGCGTGTTGCGTGGTGCGCGTTGCGTGATGCGTGTTGCGTGTTGCGTGGTGCGTGTTGCGTGTTGCGTGGTGCGTGGTGCGTGAAGCGTGGAGCGCGTTGCGTGGTTGCGTGTTTCGTGGTGCGTGTTGCTTGCGGGGTGTTGCGTGTTGCGTGTTGCGTGGTGCGTATGGCGTGTTTTGCGTTGCGTATTGCGTGTTGCATGGTGCGTGCTGTGTGTTGTGTGTTGTGTGTTAGGTGGTGCGTGGTGCGTGGTGCATGTGGCGTGGTGCGTGTTGCGTGTTGCGTGTTGCGTGTTGTGTGTTGCGTGGTGCGTGGTGCGTGTTGCGTGGTGCGTGGTGCGTGTTGCGTGTTGCGTGGTGCGTGTTGTGTGTTGCGTGGTGCGTGGTGCGTGTTGCGTGGTGCGTGGTGCGCGTTGCGTGTTGCGTGGTGCGTGATGCGTGTTGTGTGTTGTGTGTTACGGGGTGCGTGTTGCGTGGTGCGTGTTGCGTGGTGCGTGGTGCGTGGTGTGTGTTGCGTGTTGCGTGTTGCGTGCTGCGTGTTGTGTGTTGCGTGGTGCGTGGTGCGTGTTGCGTGTTGCGTGTTGCGTGGTGCGTGTTGCGTGTTGCGTGTTGTGTGTGTGTGTTGCGTGGTGCGTGGTGCGTGTTGTGTGTTGCGTGGTGCGTGGTGCGTGGTGCGTGGTGCGTGTTGCGTGGTGCGTGGTGCGTGGAGCGTGTTGTGTGGTGCGTGGTGCGTGGTGCGTGGTGCGTGGTGCGTGTTGCGTGTTGCGTGTTGCGTGTTGCGTGTTGCGTGTTGCGTGTTGCGTGTTGCGTGGTGCGTGGTGCGTAGTGTGTAATGCGTGTGTGTGTGTGTGTGTGTGTGTGTGTATGTAGCTGGCGTCTTCCGATCCGGGGCCGTGTGCCCAGACGTCCCCACCCGTGGCACCCGTGGCGGGGCGGGGCGGGCCTCGCTGCGGTTGAGGTTGCCATGCTCGTACAGCAGCGTGGCGAGCTGGTACTGCGCATGCGCCGCGCACGGGTCGATGTCGACGCAGGCCTTGCGGAGCCGACTCTCTCTGATGGATCGACGGCGAGCGAGGGGGGGAAGTGAGAAGAAGGAGGCCTTGTCAGGAGCTCAGGAGTTCGGAATTTTTCTGAGCCTTCCCTGAAGACAGCAATAACTTTTCAAAGGCGCGAGGGCTTCTGAGAAGTCCCGTCGTCTTCTGAGAAGGTCTTCTCCTTCTTATTCTCATTTCCCCCCGCCTCGCTCGCCGCCGAATGGAGGACGCGAGCCAGAAAGTCCGTGTCCAGATGATCGGGTCCTTGGCTTGGAAGCCCACGTGTTGGTGTCTGAAGTCGCACTGGGGCCTGGTATTCGCGGCAATCTTGGGTCATCCTTGGAAAATATTGCAACTATCTTCGGGACCATCTGGGCCTCCGAGGCCACCTTGGGACCACACTTTCGAAAGACATGGGAAGTCCAAACAAGAACATACAACACGTTGGGATTTCTTTAGGGTGTTGGCTGATGTGGCCCGCTTGGAAGTCCTGTGTTGGCGAACTGGCGGCCTCTACTCTTGGGGGCAGCTAGGGGGACCTCTTGCTTGCCTATTAGATAGTGGTCTCCTGGGGGCATCTTGGGCTCTCGGGGACTTTTTGGGGGGCCCCATTGGGAGCCTCCAAGGGCCTCTTGGGGCCATCTTGGCGCCGAGAGCGTTCATGGGGGCCTCTGGGGAGGCTCTGGGAACCTCCTGGGGCCTTCGTGGAGTTCTCTTGGGGCTCTCTCGGAGCTCTCTTGGCGACCTCTTGGGGCATCTTCGGGGCCTCTTGGGGGCCTCTTGGGCTGTCCTGGTGCTGTCTCGGGGGCCTCTTGGGTCGTCTTGGGCCCGTATTGGGAATCTCTTGGAGCTGTCTTGGACGATTTGGGAGCCATCGGGCGGCTTCAAAACCCGGCTGGAGGCGGCAAGGCGGGAGAGCGAACAGGTGGAGAAACGCAAGGGTTTTGAACGATTTGAGGGCCCTGGGGTTGCCCTTGCGAGGCTCCAGGGCCACTTCAGAGCCATCTTGGAAACGTGGAGCTCCTCTTGGAGCTCCAGTGGAGGAGGAGGAAGAGGAGGAGGAGGAGGAGGAGGAGGAGGAGGAGGAGGAGGAGGAGGAGGAGGAGGAGGAGGAGCTGTCAAGAGGTCAAGAGGTCCTCCAGGAGCTCCTGTGGAGCTCTGGAGGCCTCCTCGCGGGCCTGGGGGCGTCGTTGGACGCTTTCGGGTGCCTCTGGCGAGCTTCTTTGTTGAAGCTCCGACCGCCTCCCGAGGCAGGCTGGGAAGGCCTCGGGAAGGCTGAGCGAGGGGAGGGGGCCTTTCTGCACCATGTTTAGGCCGGGCATGTCCTCCTGCAGGCGGTTTCGTGAAGAAAACTACAAGCAGTCAAGCAATAATCGAACATAGTCAAAAGGGAACGAAACATCGTCCCCAGACTATTTTAAAACCATTCTCAAATATTCCTCCTGTAGAGGGACATGCCCAACGGAACTGAGAGACAGGGTCTGGACACGTTTCCACGAGCTGGCCCCTTGTCTACATCGTGAAGAGCAGGGCCTGGACACGCCCAAACTATGCTCTACTCAGCTCTCCGCTGGCTCGACCATGCTTTAATCTCACTCGATTCGTTGGTAGCCGCAAGCAAGAATGCCGATGTGGGTTACACGATCAGCTGCCAAGTAAACGGTGCCGACTAGAAGACTTCAAGCTGCAGGCGCACAAGCTGGAGCAGCGAGACAACGAATTATGTCGCAGCCGAAGAGCGGTCTGAAGATGGACCGACCCCCCCCCCCGAACACGCAGAGAGGAACATGAGAGAGAGAGAGAGAGTGAGAGAGTGAAAGAGAGAGAGAGAGAGCTCGTGGTGCACGGATTCCGACGATCAGCATGTCCACAATTCGTGAAAGTAGGTTGGACCTATAAGCGTGCTGTGAATGTTACGAGCAAAGAGGTACGCCATGGTTGTTCCGAAACAGGCGCGCCCTATGTGCCCCGAAATCATAACATCGAAAGGACGGTAACCTAGGTATCCGAACGAAGATCTGCCGACTCGCGCACGCCGAGAGTGACAATGCGTGTGAGATGTTTGGCTGCTACCGTTTTCCAAGAAGCCAGATTTCCGTATGCAGGGGTGGGGCGGATGGACCTAGGAGCTACCCAAAGCACGCACTGAGAAACATCATAATAGCCATCTGGGTCTTCTAGGCTCCCGAAATTGATAATATGACCTCCCAAGGGAGCCCATAGCTGGCACACATTGTTCCCCCTCAGTTGGTGCCGAAATGGCCCCTAGAGGCTCAGAGAGTCAACGCCGTCAAAATCGCTTGAATATTGAACCAAATTGATGGGCCACTCTGGCGCCAACATTGGCCCAACTACTCGCAAGAAGCCTCCCAGACGACCCAGACACGGCTCCAAGACGGCCCAAGATCGCTACAAGATAATCCCAACGCCTACTCACAACCAAAAGTACTCATGCAAACGGCACCAAGACCCCCAAGGGGACGCCAAGATGTCCCCAAGAAGCCGAATGGGGCACCGAAACCGAGCAACATGACCCTACGAAGGCACCCGCATAGTCTAATGAATCAGCCTATGCGATCGGCCATGTGAATGTCGGGGCCGCACAGCCGAACGCTCGCTGATAGGGAGATCTGCGTGCCACCTCGCCCCACTCTGCTGCCGCTACTGCTACTGCTGCTCCTCCTCCTTCGCCTCCTCCTCCTCCTCTTTCGCCTCCTCCTCCTCCTCCTCCGCCTCCTGTTCCTGCTCCTGCTCCTGCTCCTCCTCCTCCTCCACCTCCTCCTCCGCAATTGCACAATATGAATACCTATACGACCACCCTTCGGCTGATAAGGAGGTTCAGGGGGGGGAGGAACCAACGTCTCACTCGATCGGTCTCACTATCGATCGCACTATCGGTCTCACAATCGGTCTCGCTCGATCGATCTCACCCGATCGATCTCACAATCGATCTCACTCGATCTATTTCATCCGATCAACCGATCAATCTCACAATCGACCTGACTATCGACCTCACAATCGATCACACTATCAACCTCACCATCGATCTCACAATCGATCTCACATTCGGTCTCACTGACGATCTCACTATCGATATCACAATCGATATCACAATCAGCGTCAGCATCATCATCAACATCATCAACGTCATCGTCATCAACATCATCAGCACCATCATCATCATCATCGGGACACCATCATCACCACCTCATCACCATCATCATCAGCACCATGATCATCATCATCATCATCATCATCATCATCATCATCATCATCATCCCCATCATCATCATCGGGACACCATCATCGTCATCATCATCATCAACACCATCATCACCATCATCGGGACACCATCACCATCATCATCGGAACAACACCATCATCATCATCATCATCATCATCATCATCATCATCTCATCATCATCATTGACAGCATTTTTAACATCATCATCATCGGGTCACCATCACCATCATCAACAACATCATCATCATCGGGACACCATCATCACCGTCACCATCATCGTCATCATCACCATTATCATCATCATCGGGGCACCATCATCATCATCATCAACATCAGCATCATCACCATCATCGGGCCACCATCATCAAACTCATCATCATCACCTCATCCGCATCCTCATCATCACCAACATCGTCATCATCATCAACATCATCATCGGGAGAGCATCGTCGTAATCATCATCATCGAGACACCATCATCCTCGGGACACCATCATCATCACCATCTTCATCATCAGCAACATCATCAACCTCATCAAGACACCATCATCATCACCATCTTCATCATCATCACCATCTCATCATAATTTCATCATCATCAACACCATCATAATCACCGGGACACCATCATCATGATCAGCAACATCATCATCAACATCATCATCATCATCATCATCATCGGGACACCATCATCATCACCACCGTCACCATCACCATCACCATCATCATCATCAACATCGTCAACATCATCATCATCATCATCATCATCATCATCATCGGGACACCACCATCATCACCACCATCACCACTATCATCATCATCATCATCATCACCTTCACCATCACCATCATCATCATCATCATCATCATCATCATCATCTCATCATCATCATCATCAACATCATCAACATCATCGACATCATCATCATCATCAGCATCATCAGTATCAGTATCAGCATCAGCATCAGCATCAGCATCAGCATCAGCATCAGCATCAGCATCAGCATTAGCATCAGCATCAGCATCAGCATCATCATCATCATCATCATCATCATCATCATCATCATCATCATCATCATCATCATCATCATCATCATCATCATCGGGACACCGACGGGACACCGGCGGGACACCGGCCCCAGAAAGGAATCATTTGGTCCGGCCGCGCCTCAGCCGGAGGCGGGACACGGGCGGGACACTGCGGGCCACCGGCCCCTGGACAAGAATCATTTGGTCCGGCCGCGCCTCAGCCGGAGGAGACTTTCTTCTCGCCCGCCCACGCAGCTTCGCCTCGCCCGCACGGTCGGCACGCACGAACACGAAACCGAAACCGATTTCCCGGTAGGGGGGCTCTCCGTTCCACTTCGATCTCACCCCCTCACCTCCGATTCCTCTTTTCTCTCGCCTGGCGACGTCTGGGTAGTGGCCGGCCCCTCCCCGCGTACCATTTTTTTACACACAGGATTCCCGGGTAACGGGTTTTCGCTTGGTTATTTCAAAATGCTGCTCTCGCTGAGGCGCTGGCTTCATTTTCGGGCCACCGCTCGTTCCGAATGCTCCCGCTGCAACGCTGGCCTCATTTCCGCGCTTCCGCTCGTTCCGAATCGTGCTCCCGCTGCAACGCTGGCGCCATTATTTCCAGCGCCATGCCACGGCATGGTTTTCGGTACTTCCAAATCGGCTCCACATTCGGTGTCGATTCGTTGATTTTTTGTGTTGCAGAAGCCCCCCCACTTTGGGGCGTCGCCACGCCATGCTATGTCAGGCTCCGCGTCCTTCGAATCGTGCTCCCGCTGCAGCGCTGGCCTCATTTCCGCGCTTCCGCTCGTTCCGAATCGTGCTCCCGCTGCAACGCTGGCGTCAAGATTTCCAGCGCCATGCCACGGCCTGGTTTTGGTCCTTCCAAATAGGCCCCGAAAGCTAGAAAATGGCATCCCGAAGAAACCATCGGAAGTGATTCCACATTCGGTGTCGATTCGTTGATTTTTTTGGGCCGCAGAAGCCCCCCCCCCATTCTGGGGCGTCGCCACGCCATGCTATTTCGTGCTACGCGTTGATCTTCAACACCATGCTATGCCATGTAGTGCTATGCCATGCTACGACATCCGATTGTGCGAATAGAGAAGAGATCTACGCCATGGTAGGGGATGCGAAGGTGGGGTAGAACGTCAGAAATGACGCAAGCGCACATAATTTGTCCTCCTCCCCTCTCCACCTCGACCGTCACCCTCAAATTCGGACTCCCCTCTCCACCTCGACCGTCTCCCTCAAATTTGGAACGCGTGAGTAGCATCCAGAAGTACCTGCTCCTGCCGTGGACAATTTCAGCCTGGAACGTCACCGTCGAACGCCTGAGCCGAAGGATGGCTGGCCGCACGCGGAACGAGGGGGGAGCCAATGACCTGCCTGTGGCGGAGGGTGGTGGGCAGGCGTTTTCAGCACAGGAAAGAAGCGTCCGCTTCAAGCAAGGCCGTCTGCGATTCCACTGGCACGCCTGGAAGCTGTCAATCGACGACTCGGTGCGGCCCATCCGCAACTTAAGCTGCCCGGCCGCGTTGTGCCACCTTTGCGCGTATCGGCGGAGGAACAGGGCGGCAAGGCATCCCCCGTCCGCCCCCGCCCACCGGCCGCCCTTGCATGTAGTCTGGTTTCATCATTCTTTTTCTCCCCTTCCATCCTCCCTTCCCTTCCCCCCTCCTCCTCCCTCAAACTGAGTTTGGGAAAGTGGGAAAGAGAGAAAGAGAAAACAAGCAAAGGGATACACACATACAAATACACATACATATATGTATACATATATGTATACATATATATATATATAGAGAGAGAGAGAGAGAGAGACAGAAAGAGAGAGAGAGAGAGAGAGATCAGGCGATAGAGATAGAGAGATAATATGACGAGAGAGAGAGAGAGAAAGAGATAGAGAGAAATAGAGAGAAACTTATATGTATATATAATCAGACAGAGAGAGAGAGAGACAAAAACAAAGAGACAGAGAGAGAGAGAAACCGAAAAACGAAAGAGAGAGAGAGAGAAGGAACCGGAACGAGAACAAGTGATTGGGATAGGGAGAGGGTGAGATAGAGAGATAACGATATCTCTATATATGTAGAGAGAGAGAGAGAGAGAACGAGATAGCGAGAGACGGGGAGAAAACAATTCATATATATATATATATATATGTATATATATGTATATTGAGAGAGAGAGAGAGAGAGAAAAGGTGCGGTGGTTTGCGGTGGTGGTGGGTTGTGCTGCTGGAAGTTGTGGTGGTTGTGGCGGTGGTGGTGGTGTGGTAGATTGTGGTGGTGGTGGTAGTGGTGGTGGGTTTTTGTGGTGGTGGTGGTATGAGATGCGCCCCGTCTCTCGGCCCAGGTCGGCGGAGCCCCAATTGGCCGCCGGAGGACAAGGGCTTAACCGCTGAGCGGCTTGCGAACGACGGGGCGTCCACCGCCGCCGCAGCCAGGTCCCGATGACGCGTGGCCGCGCGGGCAAACGGGCGTGCAAGAAGTGGGGCCTCCAGCCGTGGTGGAGGCCCTATGGGGGCGTAGGGTAAGGTATTTGACCGTGGACGGTGAAACACGCGTGGCAGACACGTTGGTGCCAATGAGCGTGAAAGTGCGCCAGTGAGCGGCACCCTGGCTGTGAATTTGCAGTTGCTGCAGGGCGGCCTCGACAGCGGTGAGTGCGGCAGGCGTCAGCACCCCTACAACTGTGGGCGCAGTTCACGCAAGGGGGGCAGCGCTGGGGCAAAGAGAGAGAGAGAGAGAGAGAGAGAGAGAGTCTTCCGCTACGCCACCGACCAGGCTCTCGGGAGGACTGGGCAGCAGGACTGGCAAATGTCGGGCGCACGAGGCCCTGCTTGAAGATGTAGTCGACAAACAAACCGTCTACGCCGCACACGAGCCCTACACGAACCCAGGTACACGAAGTCGAAGGAACTTGTATTCATGATGCCGTCGAGACCTCGGTGTCATGTGAACCGAATTTGGCAGCCGTCTCCAACAGCTGTGCGAGCGTGTGGAAAACCACATGGCCCTCCAAAGCCAGAGCCTCATGCCCATTGCGATGGACCTCGGAAAGCGAAAACCAAGCCTTCCTGAAACTCGAAGCCAATGACTTGAATTGCCTGGCAGGTAGGGTAGAGCCCACACCACGCCTAATAACATTGAAGACGTTCTTCACGCGAGAACGCTCTGCATCACTAGCGTCGGAAAGCCCAGCGCAATCACCTCCCTCAGAAGACCTCGCACTATGCGCACAAGATCCGTCACGCTCAAGACGAGCACGAAGAAGGGCAGAAAAGCTAGCACCATTCATACACTCCTCCTCATCAAGTGAATTCGACACATGCTTCGCGCCGATGCCTCGCACTCGGGGTTGACCACGGAGCTGGTGTGCATAGTCCCCGCTATCCGCAGGCTGCTCCTCGTCCCCCTCGCTGGCGATGTTGAACGTCTTCACGCCGTCGTCGTGGCAGCGGCGTTCGAGGACGCTCCACCGCGTCCTCGAACGCCGCTGCCCCGTTGACGGATTGCGAAGCCTCCTCGGCGGGGTCGTGCGCCTCCTCGCGCTCGACCTTGGAGCAAGCGGCGGCGGCGGCGGCGCAGGCACCGCGGCCTTCGTGACCTTCTGCTCGGGGATCGTGCGCTCCTCGCCGGGCTCCTGGACCATGCCCCGCGGCGGCGGCGGAGGCCGCAGCAGGGGAGCACGCGCCGGAGGCTTCGAAGTCAGGACCACCAAGTCCTCGCCCTGCTTGATGTCCTTGCGGTTGCCGCTCTTCTTCGTCCGATGATTGCCATCTACTCCTGCTTGGTGCCCGCGTTGGCCTTGTGACGCATGGACTTCCTCTGGCGATTCGACATGCCCATGTGCCCCTCGGCGGAAGTGGAGAACGGGAATGGCGGGCACGGGATGCAACGTGACGTAAGCGTCCCTCCCGAGCTGGTCGGCGGAGGTGGCACTGGCACCAGGTACACGGCCTTCTTCTCCTTGAACGCTGGAGCTGCTCCTTCCCAACTGCTCGGAGCTAAAGAGACAAAAGAGCGGGATATAAAGAAAGAGAGGGAGAGAGACAAAGAGAGAGAAGAGAGAGAAATATATACACATATATAGAGAATGACTACATATACACATATACAAATGCACATAGAGAGGAAGAGAGAGAGAGAGAGGGAGAGAGAGAGAGAGAGACGGAGAGAAAGAGAGAGAGAGAGAAAGAAAGATAGAGGGAGAGAGATGGATAGAGAGAGAGAGAGATAAAGAGAACGAGAACGAGAAATAGAGAAATAACGAGAGAGAGAGAGAGAGAGAGAGATATATTTACAATGGAGGAAAAGGAAGAGAGAGGGATAGAGAGAGAGAGAGCTGGGGAAAGAGATAGAGCGAGAGGGAGATAAAGGATTTGAGAGGGAGAGAGCGAGAAAGAAAGAGAGGGAGAGAGAGATAGATAGAGAAGGAAGGATAATGCGAGGGAAAGAGAGAGAGAGAGAGAGAGAGAGAGAGAAAAAAACAGAGAGAGAGAGAGGGAGAGAGAACGGCATACTCAGAGAGAGAGGCAGGGAGAGAGAGTGAAGTAACGACAGGAAAGAAGACATATTATATACAAATAGAGAAAACACACAAACAGAGAGAGAGAGAGAGAGAGACAACAAAAGAGACAGAGAGAACGCGCGACCACTAATATGAACATGCGTAAATCACACGTGTGTATATGTATCTATATACATAGAGAGAGAGAGAGAGAGAGAGAGAGCGAGAGAGAGAAAGAGAGAGAGAGAGAGAACAAAAAAAGAGATATGTACCAACAACAGAAAGAACGAAGGAACATACAAACAAGAACGTCAACAACATGCACACGCACGTTACATGGTATACCTTCGTATCCATATACGTATACGTATCAGGGTGAGGGACTGAGTTGGCCAAATCAAATGTGTCGTTGTTGTTTTAGTTGTTGTTGTAGTCGTTGTTGCTCGTCGCCTTCGCCCGCGACTGGCCGGTGACACACCCGCTACTGACCCGCGAACGTCCCGCACATGGCCCGGGACTTACCCGCGACCGACCCGCGACCCGCCCGCGACCCACGGGCGATCCACCCCGGTTGTTTTGACGCGAAATCAGCGCCTGCGGCGGGTTTCTTCAATCTTGTTGTAGGGCCTCGCAGACTGCCGCCCCCCCCCCCCCAGGCCCCTCACTCTTATCCGCAAATGTGGTGGCTATGCGCATGTATATACAGCTTGCGCAGCCCCGCGCTTTGCAACGCTCGGTGGCACGACTACCTCTGGCGCCTGACGCGACAGGGTACAATTAGATCGTCTTCCCGGTGGTCTCGCCTCTGGGATGGCTGCACTTCGGCCGCCTGGCACTCCTGGCAGCTCCCGCAGCCTGCCTTCCGCCCCTGGCGCCGCTCAACTTCCCTCGGCGGCAACTTTGGCAGCCGTGAGTGTGCTCGCTGGGTAATTAGGCTCCGCCCGTAAACGGGGTCGACCCTTGACGCCGCCTGCGCCTTCGCTTGCGGCCGCGACCAAAACATGTTTATACAATTACATTTTGGATTTGTCTATTAAAAGGAAAAGGATGGAGATAACGAGAAGTACTTATAGATATAGAGAGACTGATCATACTACATAACAGGATGTACATATATATACACAGAGAGAGCGAGAGAGAGAGAGAGAGATAGAGAGAGAAAGAGGGATAGACAGCAACAAACAGAGAGAGAGATACACCAGACAAACAGAGAGAGAGAGAGAGAGAGAACGAGAGAGACCAAGAGTGTCAAATATGATTAAAAAACGAAGACCAACATATATATATATATATACAAGACTGCATTGGCGCTGCGCGCCATGCACCTTGGTCCTTTGAGTTCTGCACGCAAGCGGAATGCGTGCGTGCGTACATGCGCGCATGCATGTATACACGCGCACTTGCATGCACGGTCCGTATACATGTCTAGGTGCATACAATATACTTACACTGTTGTGTGAGTGTACAGCGTCCTACATATACATTTATGTGTGTAAAGGTATGAACATCCATCTGCAACTCGTACGGGGCATCCTCGGGCATCTTCGCTGCATGCCACGAGACCCTCAACGACTGGGTCACAATGTGAAATGTCATGGGAGCAAAATCAATGAATGTTGGCATTCGGAAGCATCGTGGGGGTGTTTTCGGGGCCCTCGTGGGCCGTTTTGGCGCCTTCATGGGCCGTCCTGGGGCCTTCTTGGGCCGTCTTGGGGAGCTTGGGCCCGCTGGAGCCCCCTTTGGACCCATCTTGGGCACTTCCGGGGACCTCCCATGGCCCTTTTGGGTCTGTGCTGGGAGCCCTTGGGGGGCCTCTTGGTTCCATTATGGGCTGTCTTGGGGCTCTCGTGGGCGATCGTGGGGCCCGGCTCGGCCGTCTTGAAGCTTTCTAAGGGGGCCTTTTGGAGCGCCTTGAGGCGATCTCGGGGGCTTTGAAACCGTCTTGAAAGCTGATGAAATCCGAAAGGCGAATATGCTAAAATTGTAAGTTTTACAAAGGGAATGGGACGATCTTTGTGCTTTGAAGGCCCCTTGGAAAGCTTTTTGGGGTGCCTTGGGGGTCTTGATGTTGGCATTCGGAAACATCGTGGGGGTGTTTTCGGGGCCCTCGTGGGCCGTTTTGGCGCCTTCATGGGCCGTCCTGGGGCCTTCTTGGGCCGTCTTGGGGAGCTTGGGCCCGCTGGAGCCCCCTTTGGACCTATCTTGGGCACTTCCGAGGACCTCCCATGGCCCTTTTGGGTCAGTGCTGGGAGCCCTTGGGGGGCCTCTTGGTTCCATTATGGGCTGTCTTGGGGCTCTCGCGGGCGATCGTGGGGCCCGGCTCGGCCGTCTTGAAGCTTTCTCGGGGGCCTTTTGGGGCGTCTTGAGGCGATCTCGGGGGCTTTGAAACCGTCTTCAAAGCTGATGAAATCCGAAAGGCAAATATGCTAAAGTTGAAAGTGTTACGAAGGGAACGGGGCGTCTTTTGTAGTTTGAAGGCCCCTTGGAAAGCTTTTTGGGGTGCCTTGGGGGTGCCTTGGGGGTCTTCGCTGTACGCCACAAGACCCTCAACGACTGGGTCACAATGTGAAATGTCATGGGAGCAAAATCAATGAATGTTGGCATTCGGAAGCATCGTGGGGGTGTTTTCGGGGCCCTCGTGGGCCGTTTTGGCGCCTTCATGGGCCATCCTGGGGCCTTCTTGGGCCGTCTTGGGGAGCTTGGGCCCGCTGGAGCCCCCTTTGGACCTATCTTGGGCACTTCCGGGGACCTCCCATGGCCCTTTTGGGTCTGTGCTGGGAGCCCTCGGGGGGTCTCTTGGTTCCATTATGGGCTGCCTTGGGGCTCTCGTGGGCGATCGCGGGGCCCGGCTCGGCCGTCATGAAGCTTTCTTGGGGGCCTTTTGGAGCACCTTGAGGCGATCTCGGGGGCTTTGAAACCGTCTTCCAAGCTGATGAAATCCGAAAGGCGAATATGCTGAAAGTGTAAGTTTTACGAAGGGAATGGGACGATTGTTGTGCTTTGAACGCCCCTTGGAAATCTTTTTGGGGTGCCTTGGGGGTCTTTTGGGCCGTCCTGACGCAATTGGAGTCCCTCTTGGAGCGCTCTTGTGCTGTCTGGGGCCTCCCTTGAGCCTTTCTGATGACCCCTCGGATCGCTCTAGGTCTGCTGGCAAAGCGTTGGTGGAGCCCCAGAAAGCCGGCTGACCTTTTCCAAGGACGTCCAAGGGAGCCCGAGAACCCAAGATCCCAGGGGTCCAGTTTTGGGGGGGGGGGGGGCGGGGGATGGTTTCCCCCCCCCCCCCCCCCCCCCCCCCGGGCTTGTAAAAATATAGGAAAAGGAATATCATGATATAGAGAGAACGAGTGATACTCATACAGACATATATACATAGAACGAGAGAGAGAGAGAGAGAGAGAACGAGAAAAAAACAAGCAACAACAACATAAAGAGAAAGAGAAAAGGAGCGACAGAGAGAGAGAGAGAGAGAGAAAAAAAAAAAAAGAGCGCGCTTTCTAGAGAGAGAGAGAGAGAGAGAGAGAAAGAAAGAGAAAGAGAGAGAGAGAGAGACGTGTACCTATATGCGCGCCCCAGAGGCCGCCAGGAAAGGTTCCCAGAGGCCCCTGCGGACCCCCCGCAAACGGAGCCATTTGCTGTAGTTCCGCAAAGGTCGCCAGGACGGGCTCCCAGAGGCCTCTGCGGGCCTCCCGCAACTGGAATCACTTGCGGGATGTTCGCAGAGACCGCTGGGACGGCCCGAAGAGGCCCTCCAAAGACCACTCCCTTGCCCCCAAGGATCTCTCTTTTTTTACCCCAGCTGCCCGCTTTTTCCCACTACTACATGTGCCTGTTCGTACCATTCCCAATCAACTCTCAGGAGCAGGGTTTCCGAACGGGCTGGTGGAGATACGAGTAGCGTGACGAAACATCCTTCTGTAAAGAGGCCGCATGACAGAACACCCAATACATATTCACCACTCAAGAACGCAATGATCACACATCGTTACTCGGGACTCCATAATACAGACTCCTAGCAAATGGCGCGTTTGTGTTTACACATTTATACGAACGGTATATCTACACAGAGCGATAGATACCCTCGCAGTGCTGTGTACATATACACATACACACATTTAGGAATACATCCAGACAGCCATAAAGAGCGAGCGAGAGAGGGATACATAAACAAATGTTGAGAGAGTGGATTTGCGTCTACATACCTTGTAGCACGTGTATATATGTCAAAAGAAAATAAGAGATGAAGAGAGAGAGAGAGAGATAAAGAGAGCAAGACAGAGAGAGAGAGAGAGAGCATGAGAGAGAGATATGGCGATCACGAGAAACATAAACACAGAAAGAGAGAGAGAGAGAGAGAGCGAGAAAGAGAGAGAGAGAAAGAGAGAGAGAGAAAGAGTGCGAGAGACAGAGAAACAACACAACAGGCGACAACAACGAAGCCGAATAGCCACCCAGCGTGTAGCTTTGTGGCCAGCGCCCATGGGTAGGAAGCCCAGTCCTGCTGGCAAGCGTGGCATATACAGACTGCTAGGGAGAAGCGAACAAGCGAAATCGAAATAGGTTGTTGGTATCTTGACAGTACCTTGTGTTACTTACACCTTGAGGGAGCACTGAAGACAGCAGGATAGGCCTAGTCAGCCCATGCCAACACTGCTAGCGATATGCATCGATCTCTTAGACGATCCCCTTTCTCCCCGTCCATTTTGACTCCTCCTTTTTGCCCTCCTATCCTCCCTCCTCTTCCCTCCTCTCCCTGTCCATCTCCCTCTCATTCCTGTGCTATCCCTCCCCCCCCTCCTTCCCTTGCATCCCCCCTTGCCCAAGTACCGCATGCCCCATCCTCGGGGACTATCTGAAACGCAGAAAAAAAAGCCGACGTCGCGACACAACTGGCGGGTTCTGTGATGCATCTCGGGTGTCTCTCTTGGGGCACAAAAGCGGCATACACACATCAATATTGGAAGCTCCGCGCGGAATTCTTGAATCAGGGCCAGGGGCGCCGCCAGGGGGCTTCAGCGCCGATCCGAAAAATTCGCGCGAAAAGCTGAATCTCTCTGTTTGTGCAATGTTTCTTTTTCGAGCAATGCACCTCGCATGTCTCTCGTAGAGGCCTCCTAGATGGGATCCGACTAGCCTTACGTCGGGCAGGTCCTCCCACAGGCAGCTTTGGGAAGACACTTCAGAAATAGTCCGACCATAATCAACAATAGTCGAAAGAGCACGAAACATCGTCACCAGACTTTTTCCAATTCTTGAAGATTCCTCCTGTAGAGGGAGATGCCTGACTTAAGACTAGCTGGGGTCGGAGGATCGCGCCGCATCGCCAACGAATCATTGTCGATGCATCGGCGATGCGTCTGCGCCATCGGCGTGCAGAAGCCCTGTCTCCACAACGAGCCTCATCGTCGATGCATCGGCCATGCGGTACGATCCACCGACCACACCTGCTTGGACACTATTTTGTGAGGCCTGGGGACGCACTGACCCGCGTCAGTGCAAATCTGGCTCAAACAAGTTTTTGCAAGATCTTGCGCAATCCTGCTGGACCTTGCAAGATCCCGCGATCCTGCAAGATCCGGTGCTCTGGCTGGCCCCCGTTTGCATCGAGCCCCGTCACGTGAACCCCAATGGATCTTGGGGGGGTCCTGGGCCTGTCTTGGGGGGTGGCGAATAAGGCCGAATACAACCACTTCGGACCGTTCGAGAACTACTTGGGTCGGATTCCAACCGCCGAGCAAGGGCCTATCCCAACCTGAAGGATTCCTATGCGAATTCTACAAGACGGACACCGGATTAAAACCTCTACGGAGACTATGGAGCGCTTCTCATCAACCTCTGAAGCGCTTCTCATGAGCTTCTGCGGCGCCTCTGAAGCGCATCTAAAGCGCTTCTGAAGCGCTTCTGAAGAGCTTATGAGGGGCTTCTGAGGCGCTTCTGAGGAGCGTCCGAGCAGCTTCTGGGGAGATCCTCAGGAGCATCCGAGGAGCTTCTGAGGAGCTTCCGAATAGCTTCTGAGGAGCTTCTCATGAGCCTCTGAGGAGCCCCTGGGGAGCCTCTGGGGAGCATGTGGGGAGCCAGTGGGGAGCCTCTGGGGAGGCTTTGAGGAGCTTCTGATGAGCTTCTGAGGAGCTTCCGAATAGCTTCTGAGGAGCTTCTCAGGAGCCTCTGAGGAGCCTCTGGGGAGCGTCTGAGGAGCCTCTGGGGAGCCTCTGGGGAGCCTCTTAGGAGCCTTCGGGGAGCCCCTGGGGAGCTGCTGAGGAGCCTCTGAACAGCCACGAGCATTTGCATTACTACAACCACTACTACTACTACTACTACTACTACTACTACTACTACTACTACTACTACTACTACTACTACTACTACTACTACTACTACTACTACTACTACTACTACTACTACTACTACTACTACTACTACTACTACTACTACTACTACTACTACTACTACTACTACTACTACTACTACTACTACTACTACTACTACTACTACTACTACTACTACTACTACTACTAACTACTACTACTACTACTACTACTACTACTACTACTACTACTACTACTACTACTACTACTACTACTACTACTACTACTACTACTACTACTACTACTACTACTACTACTACCTACTATTCCTTATTCGAATATACTCCTACTCCCCCCTCAGGCCGGCAGTTAGGGGCCGCATCCGGGTGGTCCCATCCTAACCTGTAAAAAACAATATAACATCAACATTTTTCTTATTCCCCACATCCTGAGTGGGGTTCTTGTTTTCCCAGAACGCCCTCTCCTTCCCACCCACCTCCCGCTCCATCTTCCATACAGCACAATATTATTCCTACCACACACACCATACCATACCATAGTTCCTACCACACATACCATACCATACCATACCATACCATACCATACCATACCACACCATACGTACCATACCGTACCATACCATACCATGGCGTACCATACTATTTACATGGTTTCGTGCCCCTCCCACCCCTCCAGGGAGGCCCCGCCTGAGCGAGGAGGGTATCGGAATACCATACTATTTACATGGTTTCGTGCCCCTCCCACCCCTCCAGGGAGGCCCCGCCTGAGCGAGGAGGGTATCGGAATACCATACTATTTACATGGTTTCGTGCCCCTCCCACCCCTCCAGGGAGGCCCCGCCTGAGCGAGGAGGGTATCGGAATACCATACTATTTACATGGTTTCGTGCCCCTCCCACCCCTGCAGGGAGGCCCCGCCTGAGCGAGGAGGGTATCGGAATACCATACTATTTACATGGTTTCGTGCCCCTCCCACCCCTCCAGGGAGGCCCCGCCTGAGCGAGGAGGGTATCGGAATACCATACTATTTACATGGTTTCGTGCCCCTCCCACCCCTCCAGGGAGGCCCCGCCTGAGCGAGGAGGGTATCGGAAAACCATACTATTTACATGGTTTCGTGCCCCTCCCACCCCTCCAGGGAGGCCCCGCCTGAGCGAGGAGGGTATCGGAAAACCATACTATTTACATGGTTTCGTGCCCCTCCCACCCCTCCAGGGAGGCCCCGCCTGAGCGAGGAGGGTATCGGAATACCATACTATTTACATGGTTTCGTGCCCCTCCCACCCCTCCAGGGAGGCCCCGCCTGAGCGAGGAGGGTATCGGAATACCATACTATTTACATGGTTTCGTGCCCCTCCCACCCCTCCAGGGAGGCCCCGCCTGAGCGAGGAGGGTATCGGAATACCATACTATTTACATGGTTTCGTGCCCCTCCCACCCCTCCAGGGAGGCCCCGCCTGAGCGAGGAGGGTATCGGAATACCATACTATTTACATGGTTTCGTGCCCCTCCCACCCCTCCAGGGAGGCCCCGCCTGAGCGAGGAGGGTATCGGAATACCATACTATTTACATGGTTTCGTGCCCCTCCCACCCCTCCAGGGAGGCCCCGCCTGAGCGAGGAGGGTATCGGAATACCATACTATTTACATGGTTTCGTGCCCCTCCCACCCCTCCAGGGAGGCCCCGCCTGAGCGAGGAGGGTATCGGAATACCATACTATTTACATGGTTTCGTGCCCCTCCCACCCCTCCAGGGAGGCCCCGCCTGAGCGAGGAGGGTATCGGAATACCATACTATTTACTCCCACCCCTCCAGGGAGGCCCCGCCTGAGCGAGGAGGGTATCGGAATACCATACTATTTACATGGTTTCGTGCCCCTCCCACCCCTCCAGGGAGGCCCCGCCTGAGCGAGGAGGGTATCGGAATACCATACTATTTACATGGTTTCGTGCCCCTCCCACCCCTCCAGGGAGGCCCCGCCTGAACGAGGAGGGTATCGGAAAACATTACTCTTCGCCAGGTTTCGTAGCCCTCCCCCCTTCCAGCGGGGCCCCGCCAAAGCGAGGAGGGCATCAAGAAAATGGGTCCCACGAAACCGTTAATCTCTTTATGTGGGGAACTCCGTTAGCATAATTTTTTCCTCTCGGCATGGACGTCCTGTCGTCCACGGCGATAATCCATTGCAAAAAATACCACAAAAAACACACGCGCGCGTTCATGTCAGAATCCTACCGAACACTGTGTGTTTGCAAGCATTTCAACATAAAAACATCAAAAACCCAATGTTTTTTTTCACACAAATTCTACAAATTTCCTGCCTGGGCTCTCTGGCTGAAATCATAGGAAAACCATGAGAATCTTAAGAATTCTGTCAAATCCAGCGATTTCACGTCATCGCGCGGTGCACTCGCGATGCTCTGTCATGCACCCAGGCCACGAATCCAGTGCAAAAAATACCACGCGGGCGACATGCGCGCGCGTCGCCGCGAGCGCATGCTCAAATCCTTCTACAGTCGTTGCCGTCATTGGCACCGTCGCATGGACGTCCTGTCGTCCACGTCGCAAAATGCATGGCAGGAATGGGACGCGGCGCACACCCCGCGCCCGCCCATCCAATCCGTCCTATTCTAATCTGCAAAAGACAATACACAGTTTTTGTTTTCTTGTCAACATGGTCGTGCTGTCGTCACGTCGCAAAATGCGTGGCAGGAATGGGACGCGGCGCGCACCCCGCGCGAAGGGGTGACATGTCGATCTCGCCTCGGCGCCGCGCACCAACGCCTGCGGTGTACCGGGCCATTCTCGACTCGTCTGGCAATGCGTGCGCGGCATTCAACACGCGCTCGCCAGTTCCCGTCGGCAACCGCCATCGCGGCCGCATCAGCTGTACCAAACCGGCTGGCCGGTGTGACTTCGGCCCCCAGTTGTGCCAGCTTTGCTTCTTATGTTGTGGGAGGGCGGGTGGGACTGGGCATGCCATGCTTGACTCGCTCGAGCTGGCTAGCTTGACTCCTACTCCTACTCCTACTCCTATCCTTATTCCTTATTAGAATATACTCCTACTCCCCCCTCAGGCCGGCCAGATAGGGGCCGCATCCGGGTGGTCCCATCCTAACCTGTAAAAAACAATACAAAATCAACATTTTTCTTATTTTTTCCTCTCGACATGGAC